ACCAGGGTCACGTGACTTAAGATGGCTTCAGGAAAAAACAAATTAAAACAAATATATGTATATATATATATATTTGAGACGGAGTCTCACTCTATCTCCCAGGCTGGAGTGCAATGGCACAATCTCAGCTCACTGCAAGCTCTGCCTCCCAGGTTCACGCCATTCTCCCGCCTTAGCCTCCCAAGTAGCTGGGACTACAGGTGCCCGCCACCGCGCCTGGCTAATTTTTTGTATTTTTAGTAGAGACGAGATTTCACCATGTTAGCCAGGATGGTCTTGATCTCCTGACCTCGTGATCCACCCATCTTGGCCTCCCAAAGTGCTGGGATTACAGGCATAAAAATATTTTTTAAAAAAGGCCAGGTGTGGCGACTCACACTTGTAATCCCAGCACTTTGGGAGGCTGAGGCAGAAAGGATGGCTTGAGCCTATGAGTTCAAGAGCCAGCCATAGGGCAACATGGTGAGACATCGTTCTTCACAAAAAATACCAAAAAAAATTAGCCAGACTTGGTGGTGCATGCCTGTAGGCCCAGCTACTCGGGAGGGTGGATAGGAGAATTGCTTGAACCTGGGAAGTTGATGCTGCAGTGAGCTGTGATCATGCCACTGCGTTTCAGCCTGGGCAACAAGTGAGACCTTGCCTCAAAAAAAAATAAATACATAAATAAAAGAAAAAAAGAAAAAGGCCAGGTGTGGTGGCTCAACGCCTGTAATCCCAGCACTTTCAGAGGCCAAGTCAGGCGGATAACTTGAGTTGAGGAGTTTGAGACCAGCCTTGGCACATATTGAGATCCTCTCACTCTAAAAAATAAAAAATAAAAAAAAAAAAGGAAAAGAAGAAACAAAAACGATAAAAAACCAAAAAAGATGGCTGCGTGATTTGTCTACCTATGCTGTGGGCACTCTGCTTAAGAGATGTTGGGAGGCCTCCAGATTTCCCCTTGTGTAAGAGACTCTGAAAATTATATCCCTGCTCATATATGTTTCTGGGGATTTCTGACCCTTGTGTTAGCCTAAATTGAAAGCAAAATTGCTGGGACAAAGGCCGTACACATGTTTTTTTTTGAGACAGAGTTTCGTTCTTGTTGCCCAGGCCAGAATGCAGCGGTGCGATCTCGGCTCACTGCAACCTCCGCCTCCTGGGTTCAAGCGATTCTCCTGCCTCAGCCTCCCATGTAGCTGGGATTACAGGCATGTGCCACCATACCCGGCTAATTTTGTATTTTTAGTAGAGATGGGGTTTCTCCATGTTGGTCAGTCTGGTCTTGAACTCCCGATCTCAGGTGATCTGCCCACTTTGGCCTCTCAAAGTGCTGGGATTTACAGGCGTGAGCCACCACGCCCGGGCCTGGCCATACACATTTTAAGGGCAAATCATCTCCAAAAAGACTATATCAGTTTACACTCACAAGAAGTGTCCAAGAGCTGTCTTTTTTTTTTTTTTTTAAGGGCTTTATTTCTTTCCTTTTTTTTTGAGATGGAGTCTCGCTCTGTTACCCAGGCTGGAATGCAGTGGTGCAATCTCTGCTCACTGCAAGCTCCATCGCTCCATCTCCAGGTTCACACCATTCTCCTGCCTCAGCCTCCCAAGGACTACAGGCGCCCGCCACCACGCCCGGTTAATTTTTTGTATTTTTTAGTTAGAGACGGGGTTTCACCTCGTTAGCCAGGATGGTCTCAATCTCCTGACCTCGTTGATCCACCCGCCTCAGCCTCCTAAAGTGCTTATTTCTTAATATGCTTTAATGCTTTTTTCACTTTCCCCAAATTATAAACTGCAGGCTAATGACACCACCTAGAACTAAGGACATTTACTCAACACAATCTGCTGATAGACGTTATAGTCACTTGCTCTAATTTCTTCTCACTTCTTAGGAAACAGCATAAAAATAAATGAGAAGAATAGGCTGGGATTCTTTTCAGAGATTAGAAATGAATCCCAGGCAACGTGCATGAATAATAAAAAGCCTCCCAAGCTTAAGGACTCTGATAATTGGGAATGATATACTCCGTTATCTTTTTGAAGTCCCATACAACACAGAGATCCTGACAATTCGAAAACGTTTTAAAGACAGAAATTTAATTTTGATAAGAGCCATCTTTTTCCGCACATTCTCTCTCAACAAAGGTTATAAATCTGTTTGGTCTGCAGTTGGTTAAGGATAAAAGTGGAGGGGGCAGAATTTTGCTTTGTTACTTACATTATTTTATTTTTTCATTTCTACAGACAGGGTCTTGCTGTGTTGCCCAGGCTGGAGTGCAGTGGCATGATCATAGCTCACTGCAGCCTCAATCTCCTGGCTCAAGCGATCCCTCCCACCTCCAACTCCCCACATGCTAGGATTACAGGCATGCACCACCATGCCTGGGCAGGGTTTTGCCTTGAAGATCAGAATTCATCCTCATGCTATTGGCACAGGCTACAAATATAGAACCTCAAAAAAGAGGTTTTTTGTTGTTGTTGTTGTTGTTGTTTTTGAGACAGGGTCTCACTCTGTTATCCAATCTGGAGGGCAGTGGTGGGATCTCGGCTTACTGCAACCTCTGCCTTCCCGATTCAAGCAACTCTCATGCCTCAGCCTCCCAAGTAGCTGGATTACAGTGTGCACCACCATGCCCAGCTGATTTTTTGTATTTTAAGTAGAACGGGGCTTCACTGTGTTGGCCAGGCTGTCTTGAACTCCTGGCCTCAAGTGATCTGCCTGCCTTGGCCTCCCACAGTGCTGGGATTACAGGCATGAGCCCTGCCTCAAAAAGAATTTAACTCCCCTCTTCTTACCCCTGCACTTGATGAGTCTTAAAAAAAAAAAAAAGAGTTTGAATCATTAATAGACACCAGCTCCAGCCTGTGCCGTGGAAACCTTCCCTTGGCTCCCCGAGGACAGAGGCAGACATTTAAGGGGCAAACCCTGACCTCTTATGGTTGATATAATGGAAGTAAGCCATACTGACACCATATGTGTCTCCTGCCGAGAAGCACAAGGTGCTATAGTGGGGGCATTTACTACTCATCCATTCGTTTATACAAGACGTGTTTACAGAGTGCTTACTATGTGCCTGGTACTCGGTGCTGGAGCCAGACAGATCTGAGGAAATTTCCCTTATCTGTACAATGGGGACAACATTACCTGCCTTGCAATGAGAAAACATATGTAGAGCCCTCAAAAAATTAACTGGAGCTATTCTTCTTACTTTTTGTTTTTAGATGGAGTCTCTCTGCCGCCCAGGCTGGAGTGCAGTGGTGCAATCTCGGCTCACTGGAAGCTCCACCTCCCGGGTTCAAGCGATTCTTCTGCCTCAGCCTCCCGAGTAGTGGGATGACAGGTGCCCACCACCACGCCCAGCTAATTTTTGTATTTTAGTAGAGACAGGGTTTCACGGTGTTAGCCAGGATGGTCTCCATCTCCTGACCTTGTGATCTGCCTGCCTCGGCCTCCCAAAGTGCTGAGATTACAGGCATGAGCCACCGCGCCCAGCCTTCAAATTCTTAACATTTTTTGAAGAAGGGGCCCTGCATTTTCATGTTGCACTGGGCCCTGCAAATTGTGTAGCTGGTTCTGGGCTCACGGTAAAATCATAGCAAGGAGGAACAGCTCTGCAGACCCCTCTCCTTCCACATCCAATCCGTCAGCACATCCTGTTGCTCTTCCTCCACACACATCCTCACTCCCCGCACTGTTCTTCCTCTTCCCTGGACCAAGCTACCACCTCTTTCTTCTAAAGAGGCTGTGTAGCATCTTCCCTGGCATCTCTGCCTCCACTCTGGTCCGTGGGCATCCTCCAGTGGGCACCCAAGTGAGCTTTCAAAACTGCAAATTGGATCATGTCTCTTCCCTGCTTACCCCGCTGCCAGAGGCCTCCACTCCACTCAGTACAAAACCCCAGGGTAGCCTTGCCCTGCCTCCGCCTCCCGTGTTCCAGCCACACAGGCTCCCTTGCTAGTCCTCAGACGCTGCATGCTCTCATTTCTCCTCTGCATTCGCTCTTCCTTGCTCCAGGCACTTAGTCACTCCAGCCTGACTCTCTCCCATGATAAGGTCTCGGCTCAGGGAGGACTTCCCATTGCCCATCTCACATCCTCATCCCTGTCTGTTCTATTGCCCTGATTTGTTGCTTTTACAGAACCAATTGCTATCAAGTTATCTTTTTCCTTTATTTATTTACTTATTTCTCGTCTGCCTTCTCTTCTTCTTATCTGTCTCCTTCACGTGTACAGAGCAGTACCCAGCACATAGTAGGTGCTCAACGAATCATCTCCTTTGATTGAGTACAAGTGTTCCTGAGGCTCACAGAGGTTAAACACCTTAAGGTCATGCTGTGGGGCCAGGGTTTGAACTCATGTCTCCCAGAGCCCATACCCTCCACCATCATACTGTCCTGCTTCCTACATGGATCTATGGGGTCAACCACTGCCTTTGTGGGGAGGGCGCAATCTGTCAACAGGGCTGTCCTGTTGTCTGTGCTTCTTCCTTCTCCCCTACCTTCCACCAGACCCTAAGTCAGTCAGGAGACCAGCTTTCCTTTACCAAGCCCAGCGACTGGAGGCTTGCTGATAGATGGACCACTTGCCATGGGGGAGAGTCCTGAGGCTGAGTTCAAGTCCTGCCACTACCAGTACCTGACTGGGCAGTCTTGTGCAGAGCCCCTTTCTGAATCTGTTTCCTCATCTGTTGAATGAAAGGACTGGACTACAGGGGTCAGCACACTTTCTGTAAAGGGCCAGTTTGTCCCTATTTTAGGTTTCATGGGCTGCACAATCTCTATCACACTGCTCAGTGCTGCCATTGGTGCTCAAAAGCAGCCACAGACAATCATAAATGAATGAACATTCTTCTGTTACAATAAAACTTTATTTACAAAAACAAGTGACGGGCCAGGTTTGGCCCCCAGGATATAGTTTGCTGACTCCTTGGACCAGACTATCTCTAAGGAAACTTCTGGATCAGAGAGTCTGTAATTTTTCATGCAAGTAAAAGCTTCTTACAGCCAAGTTGGAGAAAGGGCTTGTCTAGCCCACACTTACCTGCTCAAGTAGAAGGCAAAGAGGTTCTGAGAAAGGAGGCCTTGGTTCCACAGGTTATCAAAGACAGGGGTGGCTCTTCAATGCCAAGGCTGGGGTAGCCCAGTCCCAGGATGCCATCGAAGACCGTGTATTTCATGAACTTGTCAGGCTCCTTGACACTCAGGCCGAACCCCTGGCCTATGTCCACAAGGTCCCCGATCTGTGGGAGAGGAGGGTGTTTCCGTGGAAAGATTTGGGAAGTGGGGCTGGGGCTGGGCTGGGCTGAGGCGCAGGTGGCTGAGGAAATAGCACTAACTCTATGGGGAAGCCTAGGGCCACTGTGCCGTGGGCGGCACCTAAGCGAGTGTGGGTCCCTGTGGGCTATCATTCTAACTAACTCCAACGCCTCCTTCACATCGTCCGAACTTAGCCACAGAGGCCACATTCCCTTTTTACAGTTGAGACTCCGCGTGTGACCACATGGTTCCCACTTGAGGACAAATGGGTAGAGAGCAGGATTGTCCCCTTTTTGGTGTCACTATGATCTGATGACAGAAACAGAGAATTCATTTCGGACTCCAAAGGTGGTCTTTTCTCACCCCCTGGGGGAAACAGTAGCCCGTTACACCATGTAGCTGCTAGGGTTCTTACGAAAATTCTGCCTGGGAAATGCTCCTTTAGATGTGTGTGTGTATGCGTGTGTGTGTGTGTGTGTGTATGTGTATGTGTGTGTATGTGTGTGTATGTATGTGTATGTGTATATGTGTGTGTATGTATATGTGTGTGTATGTGTGTGCATGCGTGTATGTATGTGTGTGCGTGTATGTGTGTATATGTGTGTATGTGTGTGCGTGCATGTGTGTATATGTGTGTGTGCGTGTGTGTGCATGTGTATGTGTGTGTGTATGTGTGTGTATGTGTGTGCATGTGTGTGTATGTGTGCATGTGTGTGTATGTGTGTGCATGTGTGTGTATATGTGTGTGTATGTGTGTGCGTGTGTGTATATGTGTGTGTATGTGTGTGCATGTGTGTGTATGTGTGCATGTGTGTGTATGTGTGTGTGTATGTGTGTGCATGTGTGTATATGTGTGTATGTGTGTGTGCGTGTGTGTATATGTGTGTGTATGTGTGTGTGCGTGTGTGTATATGTGTGTATGTGTGTGTGCGTGTGTGTATATGTGTGTGTATGTGTGTGTGCGTGCATGTGTGTGTGTGCATATGTGTGTGTATGTGTGTGCATGTGTGCGTGTGTGTGTGTGTGTGTGTGCAGGCACTTTTGGGGAGGAGTCCCTAGTTTTTTTAGACTCTGAGTGTGACCACATGGTTCCCACTTGAGGACAAACGGATAGAGAGCAGGATCGCCTTCTTTTAGAAGACAAATGGGAAGAACTCATTTATGAGGCAGGGCTCCTCTGAAGCTGTGACCCCTGTTTTCCCTGCCTGGTGCCTGTAGCCCTCGGTCCCAGACAAGTTCTATCCTCTTCCAAGAATACTCCACACCCATGTGAGTCCTGCTTCGCCTCCCAGCTCTGCTGCTTGCCAGCTGTGTGACCCTGGGCAAGGCACTCACTCTCTCTATTCCCTCATATGTAAAACGGAGATAATAGTAGAGTCTGCCGTGCCAGGTGGTTGTGAGGATTAAGCAAGTTATTCCAATGGAAGCGTCCAGCATGGCACCTGCCACAGTGTGAGAGCACAAAATTGGGTGGTTTTTACCTACCCACCTCTGTCCCTGTGCCCAGCAAAATCAGCCTCGTACTCATTGTGGGAGAAGGGGCTGCAGATTTGTGCCTCCCTCACCCAAGCACCTCCAGCAGGATGGTCCCGCTCTCTGGGGAAGCTGTTCTGGAGGAGAGTGCATGCCAGCGGGGGCATCATCTCCCCAGGTCACAGCCCCACAGGGCAGGCGTCCAGCTGCTTCTGCATCTGGTCCCGTAAGTGACGGTCACGCCTAAGGCCAGCCCGGCCTCTGCCTCTGGTTTCCATGTTACCTTAACATTGTCATAGCCAAGAAATCCCAACATTTGCCCGGTGCCATAGGCGATGCTGATGGGCCGGCCTGAGACCCGGAACGTGGAGGACAGCAGAGAGTTGAAGATATTGTGGTTAGCTGCAGACACAGGGGTAGGCATCTGTCAGGCCTGCTGGGGACCGAAGAGGAGGTGCTGGGAGGATATGAGATGGGGGAGGGAGCACTCACTGCAGGCTTGGCTGGCACAGTAGATGGAGGGCACCCACAAGTCAGTGAAGCCTGTGTCCAGAATGACCTTGAATTCCTGAGGCGGTGTTCCATTGGTGATGATGCTAATGTAGGCCAGCTGCCAGGACCAGGGAGGGATGGTGAGGGAAGGCCTGGCATCCTGGCCATGCCCCTGGTTCCCAGGGTGCCTGCCCTCATCAGGCATTCCGTGTTTCCTGAAATCACTTTCCAACAGCCCCACCACACAGCCTCTGCTCAAGCCACCACCTTCATTTGAGAAGCTCTCCAGTGTTCCCCACAGCTCTCCAAATCCTTTCCACCCTTGAAGACCTGGTCTGAGTGCCTCCTCCTCCAGGCAGCCCTCCTAGGTTGCCCAGGCCACTGTGCTCTTTCCTTCCTTTAAACTCAAATCACATAATATTAATACCACACAGTTGGTCCTCTTATCTGACATTTACTTACTTTTGCCTATTTCTCTGGGTGGGCTATGAGTTCTTGAAGAAGAGATGAGACCTTTGGTTATATAAGTAACAATAACCATATTGTTAGTTTATCATAGCATCCTGCACCACAGGGACTCAATAACTTAAACTTTTTTTTAGAGTCAGAGTCTCTCTCTTTTGCTCAGGCTGGAGTGCAGTGGCATGATCATAGCTCACCACAGCCTCGACCTCCTGGGCTCAAGCAATTCTCCCACCTCACCCTCCCAAGTAGCTGAAACTATAGGTGCACACCACCACACCCAGCTAACATTTAAAACTTCTTGTAGCGACATGGTCTCGCTATGCTGCCCAGGCTGGTCTCAAATTCCTAGCCTCAAGGGATCCTCTTGTCTTGGCCTCCCAAAGTGTTGGGATTACAGAAGTTAGCCACTGCATCTGGCCTCAATAACTTTTTTATTGGTTTGATTCTTGGGACTGAAAAGGCTAAACTTTTTTGTTGTTGTTGAGATGGAGTCTCACTCTGTTGCCCAGGCTGGAGTGCAGTGGTGCGATCTTGGTTCTCTGCAACTTCCATCTCCCGGGTTCAAGTGATTCTTGTGTCTCAGCCTCCTGAGTAGCTGGGATGACAGGCACGCACCACCATGCCCGGCTAATTTTTGTATTTTTAGTAGAGACGGGGTTTTGCCATGTTGGCCAAGCTGGTCTTGAACTTCTGACCTCATGTGATCCACCTGCCTCGGCCTCCCAAAATGCTGGGGTTACAGGCGTGAGCCACTGTGCCTGGCCTAAACTTCTACATAGGGTGTCAAACTTGATTTGCAGTTTTCTTTGTTGTCATTTGATCAGACATGGATTGCCCTTCAATGTGGCTCCTTTAGCTTGGTGATTAGCCTTAGTTCAGAAAGGGCAAAGCTCCCATAACAAGCACTGTCTTGGTTCAAGGGTGCCCAGTGACACTATCACTGGCACAGAAATGGATGCTATCTGGCACCTGGTCATTGCTGGGCCCAGTCACTACGGACCAACAACAGAGGGCAGGAATGCTTTCTCCTCTGGAAATGGGTCGTGTTCCCCGGTCGTGTTCCCCACTCTCTGCTGAAGCCCCAGCCCTAACCCGCTGGCTCACAGCCCCACATGAGCCCCAGTGCTTGCTAGGGGCCCTAGGGGGCGCTCTGGAGCTCCATCCTGCCAGCATACTCACATCCAGGTAGTTCCTCATGGGTTCCAAAGATATTCCATTGTCCTGATATTGATCAAGAAACTTATAGGCCAGGCTGTAAGGATATTTCTCAAGATAATCTTTCAGCATGTCATTTTCCCGGAGGTTTTCTCGAATGGATTTGATCTTCATCAGAGGGATTCTTCAACCGAGCATTGGGAAGGGAAACAAGTAAGAGACAGTCATCGGCTGCTCCTTACTATAATGTGACTGTCACACTTTGCACTGTAATTACACCGTGCATTTTCCAAGCTTTTTAATGATTGTTATCTTATTATCAGGAAAAGACACCCAATGCAAAGGAAAGACCGCGGCAGTGGATCTAGGTTTAATTCCAGGTTCTATTGTGTCATCTTGGGCAGGTCATATGATCTTTCTGAGCCTCCGTTTCCCTATCTATCTATAAAAAAGATGGAATGATGATACCCTCCCTAGCATAGAATGTTTGGAGGTGTTAAGTGAGACAGTGGATATAATGCGCCTGCCATATAGCAGGTCCTGACAGTGACAGCCCTTCCTATTGCTAATGCCATCTCAATGTCTCTTTCTCGGGCAGCCCTGGGAGGGCGGTAGAGGGGGAATCATTATCTTCTTTTATAGGGAAGGAATCTGAAATGCAGGGACTTTGTGACTTGGCTCTGGTTACACTGCTTGTTAGTGGCAAACCTGGGCCTAGAAGTAGCCCTCCTGATCTCTCCAGGGTTCAACCAGAAGAAAGGGGTGAGAGAGGAAGCCAGGAAGTGAGGAAAGTCATGAATGCTGAGATGGGGAATAAAGTGGGGAAACGAAGAGAGTAGAGAAACAAGAATGAGTCAAAAGAGAGAGAAACACAGAGTTTTGCATACACAGAGACACCCAAAGAGACAGAGAGCTAAAAGAGAGAGATGCAGAGACAGAGGTGTAGCCACAGAGACACATATATAAGGAAACAGAGAGGGAGTAGAGAGAAAACCTAGAAAATTGCACAGAAGAAATTCTGTTTCTAGGTGGGACCACATGTACAGCTGCACAGGTTGGGCACCGAAAAATTCTAGGGAGTCCCATTCACATAGCCCATGATGTGACTGGTGCCCCTGAAATTGTGCAGCTCTGCAGACGTGCCCCAAGACCTTTCAGCCTCACAGCACACATGGCTATTCATCAATAAATGGAGACTTGAATTTTATATGAGCATCAGAGAATGATTACATTTCCTTCCCCATCCCTGCACTGGAAGGAGAATAAGAGGCAAGAGAAGAAGAGGGCAAGAAGGAGCCCACAGAGACAGCTGATGTCACGTGTCTCATACTTACTTGACCAAGCATTCTGAGAGAGCCACCAACCCGAGGATCGTAAGCCACTTCATACTTCCTTCGTGGGTTTAAAGCACTCAGGAAAGAGTGAATTCTGAGCATGCAGTGGCTGTCAAGAGGAGCTCATTTAAATGCACTCTGATCTGCCCTAGTCATCCCCTTGAGGGCCAGTATCGACTCGATAAGAAATACAAACCTTCCTGATAAAGTCTTCGCCTGCTTCGTGTTTGTGAGGAGGGGACCTAGAAAATTCTCAGAATACAGAGATTTCTATTCTAATCTCTTCCTTGGGGCATGGCTGAAAAAACAAAAATAAACCATACAGGGGAACAAAGAATGGGGAGACTCTTGCTATCTTGGAGATAAAGGCACTGAGCATAATGTGATAAAAATAAGTGTTAGATGCTATGCTTGACATTTATGATCTCATGCAGTCTTCCCAGTGACCCTGTGAGGTGTACATTGCTGTCCTCATCCGGGAGGGGATTGCTAGGACGAAGAGAGGTCAAATCACAGAGTGAAAGTGTTGGGAGCGGCCCACTGACTTATGAGTGGATTTAGGTAGTGGGATGGCACACAGCAGGGCCACTTATGCTGCCAATCTGCTTCAAAGAGCCAGGCTAGAGCAGTATGACCATCGGACAATTTTAATATTGGAAGAAATGTGACGCATGCAACCCAAAAATATTGTTTGTATCCAGTAAACATTTACTGAGGACCTGCTGTGTGCTGGAGAGCGGGATAGATGCTGGGAAATCAAAGTCAAATGAGACATGAGCAGGCCTTGCCTTCAGGGAGTTTGCAGTCTGGAGTTTGCAGGCAGGAATCACAAGCTGGAGACCCAGTCAGCAAAGGAAACAAATGGAAGGGCTGGGTGGGCATCTCGGGCACGGGCACGACTGTCTCCCCACAAGGGAGCCGCCTCTTCTCTGTTCCACCAGCAGTTGCCACACTGGCAGGTGGGCTGTGACGCCAGGTTGGCCAAGTTTTCAAGACGTGTAAGTGGGAAAAACTAAAATTGTGTTTCTCTTACTACACTTTTTTTTTTCTTTTTTTTTCCCTTCCTTTCTTTTAAGACGGAGTCTCGCTCTGTCGCCCAGGCTGGAGTGCAGTGGTATGATCTTGGCTCACTGTAACCTCTGCCTCCAGGGTTCAAGTACTTCTACCTCAGCCTCCGAAGTAGCTGGGATTACAGGCGTGCACCACCACGCCCGGCTAATTTTTGTATTTTTAGTAGAGCTGGAGTTTCACCGTGTTGGCCAGGCTGGTCTCGAACTCCTGACCTCAGGTGATCTGCCTGCCTCGACCTCCCAAAGTGCTGGGATTACAGGTGTGAGCCGCCACGCCTTGCCTCTCTTACTACACTCTTGCGACGTGTTTCTTACACCAGATGCGTGGGGCTTTTCTCCCCACCAACAAGCTCACAGTCAACTCTGCAGCAGACACCAGCCGGCTGTCCTCCAATTCAATTCTGACACCATCCACCTGGGGATAGCATCAGATCCCACAGATTGAGGGCTCAGTCTCATAAGACTGGGCCCCACTTCCAATGCCAATTGCAAGCTCCAGGTTGTTTGACCTGTGCTTCTGACCAACTGGCCGTAAGTCGGGGTTCCTAAGACCCCCTCTTTGCGTTCAGTTAATTTGCTAGAGCAGCTCTTGGAACTCAGGGAAACATTTATTTACATTTACCTGTTTACTATAAAGGATATTACAAAGGATACAGATGAAGAGCTGCACGGTGGGAGGTATAGGAGAGGGGGTGTGACGCTTCCATGCCTTCCCTGGGCGCCCACCCTTCAGGAATCTCACGTGCTCTGCTCTATGGAAGCTCTCCGAACTCCGTCCTCTTGGGCCTTTCATGGAGACTTCATTGGAAAGGCATGATGGAAGCACAGACAGCTGTGTAGAAGTGTGATTGAATAGCTGGGCACGGTGGCTCATGCCTGTAATTCCAGCACTTTGGGAGGCTGAGGCTGAGTGCTGTAATCCCAGCACTTTGGATCACCTGAGGTCAGGAGTTCAACACCAGCCTGGCCAACAGGTGAAACCCCATCTCTACTAATAATACAAAAATTAGTCGGGCGTGGTAGTGCACACCTGTACTCCCAGCTACTCGGGAGGCTGAGGCAGGAGAATCACATGAATCCGGGAGGTGGAGGTTGCCTGTGATAATCCATGGTGACAAATTTGGGCAGTAGGGGTAAAACTGACACAGAACCCCAGCCAGGCACTGTGGCTTATCCCTGCAATCCCAGCACTTTGGGAGGCCAAGGTGGGAGGATAACTTGACCCCAGTTCAAGACCAGCCTGAACAACATGGCAAAAGCCTGTCTCTACAAAAAAAAAATGCAAAAATTAGCTGGGCATGGTGAGCCAAGGTCGCGCCATTGCACTCCAGCCTGGGCAAGACTCTGTCTCAAAAAAAAAAAAAAAAAAAAAAAGAAAGAAAGAAAGAAAAAAAAGAAGTGTGATTGAACAAAAAGGGAATGATCTATGTTGATAGACTGAGTGGGAAACCCAGCAATGCCTGTCTGCTGAGATGCTTGGTCTCTCCGTGCAGCATTCCTTCCTGCAGCGTGCGGGGCAGGACCCCTCTGAAGTGGAGTTTTACGACCTGCAGTCATGCAAGGCCAGTCAGAGAATTTCTTTATGGACAGAGGCAAGGGAAGATTAGAATATATTTTTAGGTGCTAAGGCCTGCCTTGGAGAGAAAAAGGAGCAGGTGAAAAGAAGGCCGGAGGAGGTCTGGGAGAAAGATTCTGTTTTTCCGAGTCCTGGTTAGAGGCCTAACACACTCCAACCTTATAACAAAACACTGTAACAAGGGCTATGGGAGTTATGAGCCAGGAACTGTGGATGAAAACTGATGTGTGTGTGTGTGTGTGTGTGTGTGTGTGTGTGTGTATATATATATATAAAATAAGAAGTCAAAAGTCTGGATATTTATGTGAAATCCCTGATCTTTAGATGTTAGCAGCTAATTACTTTGTTTTCCAAGAAACATAGTGTGCGCCAAACCTTAAGCAACCGTGGGATGTGCAGGTTTTTATTTCTGGCCTAGAGGTGGGAGTAGAAGGGGGCCTAGAAAGGGAGGGTGTAGAGGGCTAGAAAGGGAGAGTAGAAAGGGGGTAGAAAGGGAGGGTGTTCAATTCATGTTTGCTGAATGAATAACAGATGGAATGCATTGATTTTCCTTCCGCTTGTAAGGAAAGACTACCAGGGTCCGCTAAACCAGCTGACTTACTGAGAGCTCCCACCTGATGGGCAACTGCTGTAATTCCCCTGATAGGACCCAGGCTGGAAACATTTTGTCTGCCAATTAAAAAGAAATAATTAAAGTGTCTCACCAATCAAAAAAGATAATAAGTGACCACCAGGAGCTTCTGCTTGCCTGAGATGAGAAGAGCTACCTTCTTAAACTGGTATTATTCCAGGCAAAGTAAAGAAAATGGAATGGTATGGCTCCTTCTGGACTTCCAGGGTCCTCATGTTCCCATACAAGATCCGGATCCGGTCCATGCCCATCTTGGGTAGAGCAATGCCAAGGCTGATCTGATCCCCAGGGTTGGGTTGCAAATGACGTGGGGCCAAGATTGCTCCACTGTCACAGGGATAAGCCTGTGACACAGGGATACGCCTTTTCTATATGAACTATATTTTGGGTAATCACAAATAGTTGACTAAAAAAAATTTTTTTTTTTTAAAAAACATTAGTTTAAGGAATAAGGAAAAAAAGTTGTTTTATTAAAATTCCTGGCTGCGTGTGGTGGCTCACACCTGTAATCCCAGCACTTTGGAAGGCTGAAGTGGGAGAATCACTATGAAGTATTGTAATTAAAATTTTGAATTCAAGTCGAGCTCTCATGACCAATTTTCAGGAAATAATGTAGGTAAAGGAGCATGTATCATTCAAATCCTATACATGGGACATCCTGTAGGACAAATGACCTCTCCATGCTCCCCCTACTTAAAAAAATAGACTTTACTTTTTAGAGCAGTTTTAGCTTCACTGCAAAACTGAGCAGAAGGTGCAGAGATTTCCCACATATCCGTGCCACCCCACCTCACATGCACAGTCTCTCCATTATTAATATCCTGCCCCAGAATGGTACATTTGTTACAATTGATTAACCCATGATGATGCTTCATTATCACCCCAAGTCCACGGTTTGCATTAAGATTCACTCTTGGCATTGTACATTCTATGGGTTTGGACAAATGTGTGATAGGTACCCACCATTATGATATTATGCAGAAGGCTGGGCGTGGTGGCTCACGCCTGTAATCCCAGCAGTTTGGGAGGCTGAGGCAGGTGGATAATCTGAGGTCAGGCGTTCGAGACCAGCCTGACCAATATGGTGAAACCCTATCTCTTCTAAAAATACAAAAATTAGCCATGCGTGGTGGTGTATGCCTGTAATCCCAGCTACTCGGGAGGCTGAGGCAGGAAGCTCGCTTGAACCCAGGAGGCGGAGGTTGCAGTGAGCCACGCTCGCACCATTGTGCTCCAGGTACTGGAAAAACTGGGTATGCTATGCAGAACAATGATGAAACTAGATCATGCAAAAAATTCAAATCAAAATGGATTAAATACTTAAATGTAAGACCTGAAACTATGAAACTAGTAGAAGAGGCCGGGCGCGGTGGCTCAAGCCTGTAATCCCAGCACTTTGGGAGGCCGAGACGGGTGGATCATGAGGTCAGGAGATCGAGACCATCCTGGCTAACACGGTGAAACCCCGTCTCTACTAAGAAATGCAAAAAACTAGCCGGGCGGAGGTGGCGGGTGCCTGTAGTCCCAGCTACTCGGGAGGCTGAGGCCGGAGAATGGCGTAAACCCGGGAGGCGGAGCTTGCAGTGAGCTGAGATCCGGCCACTGCACTCCAGCCTGGGCTACAGAGCGAGACTCCGTCTCAAAAAAAAAAAAAAAAAAAAAAAAAAAAAAAGAAACTAGTAGAAGAAAACATTGGGGAAATGCTTCAGGATATTGGTCTGGGCAAAGATTTCTTGGATAAGACCTTAAAAACACAGGCAAACAAAGCAAAAATTA